GCTGGCAGGAATAGCCAACACTCCAGAAGACAGGCTTAGGATACAGGAGGATCTGGACAGACTTGAACAGGGTGCTATCTAACAAAATGAAATTCAATGGTGAACAAAACAAGGTTCTACATTTAGGCAAGAAAAATCAAATGCACAGGTATAGTATAGGGGGTACCTTGCTCAGTAATAGTAACTGTGAGAGGGATCTCAGAGTCCTAGTGGACAATCACTTAAATATGAGCCAGCAGTGTGCTGCAGTTGCCAAAAAAGCCAACACAGTGCTAGGCTGCATTAACAGAGGGATAGAATCAAGATCACGTGAAGTATTAATACCACTTTACAATGCCTTGGTAAGGCCACACTTGGAATACTGCATCCAGTTTTGGTCATCACAATGTACAAAAGATGTTGAGACTCTAGAAAGAGTACAGAGAAGAGCAACAAAGATGATTAGGGGACTGGAGGCTAAAACGTACAAGGAACGGTTGCTAGAATTGGGTATGCCTAGTTTAATGAAGAGAAGGATGAGGGGGGGCATGATAGCAGTGTTCCAATATCTCAGGGGTTGCCACAAAGAAGAGGGAAACAAACTATTCTCCAAAACACCTGAAGGCAGGACAAGAAGCATTGGATGGAAACTAATCAAAGAAAGAAGCAACCTAGAACTAAGGAGAAACCTCCTGACGATTAGAACAATTAATCAGTGGAACAACCTGCCTGCAGAAGCTGTGAATGCTCCAACACTGGAAGTTTTTAAGAAGAGATTGGACAGCCATTTGTCTGAAATGGTATAGGGTTTCCTGCCTGAGCAGGGGGTTGGACTAGATGACTTCCAAGGTCCCTTCCAACTTTATTATTATTATTATTATTATCTTTTATTCATTAAACATGAACCTCAGTCAACTGAACATTCAAATTGGCTGGCGCTGATGGTTGACACGGTTGCTACCAGCATCCTAGGTGTCATTATTATTATTATTTTTTTTTATTATTATTATTATTATTATTATTATTATTATTATTATTATTATTATTATTATTATTATTATTATTATTATTATTGAATTTTTGGTGATGTTGGGTTTTTCCCCTTTCTTAAAAAAAAAAAATTAAGGTGGGAAAAGAAGCACAGGCCACAGGAAGCAAATTACTCTGAGCCTTCTATTTAACACCATTACCCTCTTCTAAATTGGCCTGAAATTGGCTCAATAAATTTTCTGTACCCTCTCCTATTCTTCCTTATTGTCAGTCTCAGACAGAAGAAGCAGGTTGAAAAAGTTTAGGATGCTGAATTGTGACTTTTGACCTCTCAGCTGTTGCACGGCCCTAGTTTGCTTGCATTTGACAAGATCATTAAATTAGCTAAGCATTATTTCCATATTTGGTTCCCTCCCCAAACATTACTGCGTTATAAACTGAAGAAACAGCTTGGCGCTCTCTTTTATGTATCCTGTTCAGTGAAAAGAGAAATATAGCTGCTGTCTTTTAATTTAGGCTTCTCTTTCAAACCAGCACTTGGCTTTGGGGCCTGAAGAGTAATCACTGTGTTTTATCTTGCTTTGTTACGAATCATAAGGAATTCAAGGTGGAGATGAAACTGTAATTATCACTCACAGGTTGGCTGGGGAATTCTGGGAGTTGAAGTCCACACATCTTAAAATTGTCAAATTTGAAAAATCAATTCAGTCCTCCTTAATAACTGTGTACAGAAATGCTTTTGTTACTATTCTTAAAGGGTCATATATCAAAAGCACAAGTGTAAGTCTTGGGAGAAGAAATTACTGATAGTACTATGAATATGTGATGGATTTTTTTTTTCCTGAAGTAGGTTTTCTCAGCAACTTCTATGAGCTTTTGTAAAACTAGCCATGGGTTGCTAATTTGGAGTGATGAATTCATAGTCCAAAATATCTGAAGAGAATCAGACTGCAGAAGGCTAACATAAGAATTAAAATAATAGTTACATTAATCATAAATATAGAATTTAGTAGTAAGGTTGAAGCATTACAGCATATTCATATGAGACGCAAAGAATGCCACGTGTGCTATAATGTCATTCATGTCATGAATTATATCATTTGCATAACGACAGAATGATCACACATTGCATATGGCTTTTACTAGATGTTTGTGAGTACATCAGTCATTAGTTGTGTACCATGGGCAGAGACATCCTTTGATTTTAGCATCCTTCCTCTCTCCTTGCTTTTCTTATCACATGATTGTAAACTCTCACTTCTGAGATACTGGCAAAACCACACTTTCTATTAAATATAGATACAGTGCGCAATGGATAGTTCAAATTGCAGTTTGCTTGCATTTTAAAATTGCAAGACAGGAGCAAGTGAGAAGAGGAGAAAACAAACTTCAGGTCATAGCCCTCCATGCAGATAATACGGAATTAATTCATTAACACCTAATCATTATTTGCCTTTACCTTTGAATGTCCTTCAAGTATTTTGTTGACTGGGCATCTGATTTCTGTTTTCAGGCCACAGGTTAGTTTACTAGCTATTACAGAATCCCCATTTGTTTAAATTGTAGTGGGAAAAAAAGGCACCATCTGTTCCACTGTTTATCTTTGAGGCCTTATTTTGTGATAATGGCTTGTTTTTAAGCAATCAATGGGCAGACAGTGATAAAGTCTATTTGCGCACTTGGCATAATGTGAAGTACTTCCCCCTGACAGTGTCATTTCACATAGTTTGATCTCCACAAGTGCAATGCGGTGCATTGGCATCTGGAAGAATTGTGTTGATGTCACATACGTTATGATGGCGTCACATCAATGAGGCGAGTTGTACAGTTTTCATCAGTTGCCATTTTTTGCCATTTGTATGATGATGCCACGACTCATGTGACCTCTGTTCTCTCTGTGACCATCGGTGTTCAGTTTGGAAATGATGCTAATCCAACAAACATTGTGATATTGCTTGGGAAGACGTGCCTTGTGTTCCTTGTTGAGTTGAGAGAGTGCTTGGCTTTGGTTCTTCTAAATAGATGCCAGAATAAGGACAGCATGGTGGCATTACATGAAATTCCTTGTTGGCTCTCAAGAGAGAAGCAACCTGGAATTAAGGAGAAACTTCCTGACAGTGAGGACAATCAACCAATGGAACAGCTTGCCTCCAGAAATTGTGGGCGCTCCATCGCTGGAAGTTTTTAAAAAGAGACTGGACAATCACCTGTCTGGAATGGTATAGGTCCTCCTGCTTGAGCAGGGGGCTGGACTAGAAGACCTCCTATTCTATTCTATTCTATTCTATTCTATTCTATTCTATTCTATTCTATTCTATTCTATTTTGCACAGCTTCACTGGTCCTTCAGTATGGCTGGGGGTTGAACAATCTTTTCTAGAATTAGGCAGGAAGATTTAGATAAGGCATGATTAGATTGCCCCTCCTTGCTGGGAAGCGGGATGAGGTCCTCTTAGAAGAAGTCTCTTCAGTTATAATTTGATTGCTGGAAGAGGACCTCAGAGTTATAGAGAGCAACGCCCTTCGTTCTGCTGCTGCTCACCAACGTTGCCTAGAAGGCAAACAGTTTCAGTAGTTTTACGGGTAGTCCTTGACTCACAACCACAATTTGGCCCAATATTTCTTTTGCTGTAAGACAGATATGTCAAACACAAGGCCTGGGGGCCAGATGTGGCCCGCGAAGTGGTTTCATGTGGCCCGCGAAGCCATCCTGGAAACAGTGAGGGAATGGCCCCCTCTGCCTTGGCCCTGGCCCAGGCCGGCCGGGAGCCAATGTACAATTCTGTGGTGGCCATCTATGCTGAAACGCATTCAGTCTTAGCTCCATAAGCCCCCCCCCCCGCATGTCCTGAGAGGAACAGTGAGGCTCCTCCAGTGGACCATGCCTTGGCACTTGCCCTGGTCCCACCCCCTTCTGCCAGAGACCCTCAAATCTGTCCCACTCCTGCCCAGGCCCCCACAGGCACCCTTGACGCAAACGGTGTAGAGCTGGCCACACCCACCCAGCAGGTCACACCTACTCCATCCACGCCCACCCAGTAGGCCGCACCCACCCTGGCCACACCCACCTGGCCCCCCTGAGGGCAATCACAATGCTGATGCGGCCCTCAATGAAATTGAGTTTGACACCCCTGCTGTAAGATATTTGTTAAGTGAATTTTCCCCCATTTTACGATCTTTCTTGCCACAGTGGTTAAGCGAATCACTGCAGTTGTAAAGTTAACAACATGATTGTTTAGTGAATCTGGCTTCCCCGTGACTTTGTTTGTCAGAAGGTCACAAAAGATGATCACATGACCCCCCTGGGCACTGCAATCGTCATAATTATGGATCAGTTGCCAAGCCTCTGAATTTTGATCACGTGACCATGGGGAAAAATGGTCATAAATTGCTTTTTTCAGTACCATTGTAACTTTGAATGGTCACTAAATGAATTGTTGTAAGTGGAGGACTACCTGTACTTAGTGCTCTTTCCTTCCTTCCTTTGTCCTCCCATGCCACACAGAACTGTTCAGTAAAGTTGGTTAAAACTGCAAGGTGGTTGAGGATGCTGGCTTATCAAAACAAAATTGTACCTGAAAAGGGAATTGTACTTAAAAAAGAATTTGACATCTTTCCCATCTGGATTGACCTAATATCTGGAAATTGTATTCCCATCACATCTGCACTTCTTGTGGGCTGGTGCAGAGCTTGAATGATTTTGGGGAAGTTGAAGTACACCGTGTGTGTGGTCTTTTGTATTTATCTAGTCTGTGTAAGCACAGAGCAATTTATCTTGTTACAATGACTATGTTAATGGGTAATCTTTATTTCAGAACGATTCAAGATTACTACCTTAATCCTATTAGATAGGCTTGAGGCAAATGTTCTCAGTTGATTTATCTAGATCGGAAAATGATAATTTCCTAAGTTAGAAAAGGTCAGAATCGCGGACCTGCTTGTCTAGCACACTAATGGTAGTTTACTTAATGGGTAGGAAAATGTAAATGCCTGCTTCTAATGCCTAAAGTGACATCTGTTTCTTTCCAACAGAGAAAGGAGATTTCATTGCTCTGGATCTTGGTGGCTCTTTCTTCCGAATTTTGAGAGTAAAAGTCTCACACGAGAAAAAGCAGATGGTGCAAATGGAAACTGAGATTTACGAAACGCCAGAAGATATTACGCACGGCAGTGGCACACGGGTAGATTCCTCTTTAAGTCTATAATTAACATTCTGAACGCTTCCCTTGTTGCTTGTTAAGTTGGGATCATCTCTTGGGTTTCCTTAATTCTGAAAGGAAAAACGAAATTAATTTGTAATTTTAAATATTCAAGGAAATGGAATATTGAAAATCCTATATTCCTTGACAAGTTAGAAAATACATTTTGGGATAAATTTCCTCTCGCCATTTTCTTGCTGAAAAAAATGTGGAGAATGCCAGATTTTATTACAAAAATTGTCTTTTTGTAGTAATTTCTTCTAGTTCACCTATTACAAACAGGGCAGTTTTGCTCACTAGCAGAGAAAAGTAGAGTGTACATCAAATAGGCAGTGAAAGCTAGCTGAACTAGCAGACAGACAAGTCCTCTGTGATGAGCGGGGATGTACTGGCTTAGCCGTGGGTTAAAAAAAATGTATTTCTGTTTATTCTGTTTCTTCATATGTTTCTTATACCCATTTTTATTTTTCTTTACTGTGTCCTGGGATGGGTGAGTATCATTAAACATTTTAAAGATGTGACTTTGTTTAGAAGAAAATTCTTCAGTACAGTGCCTTAGGCGGCAATGCTTTCTTGAGAATAAAAAAATAAATTATTTCCTAGAGTTGAATGCTATTCCAATAACTTCATGGATACATCCTTGTGAATACCTGTACTGGTTGCAGCATTCTGCAGGCGCACCATTGCAGTTTGTGCTGGGGTTTTTTTGGTGGTTTTGGGGAAAAAAGCCTGTTTGTAAGAATGGGTTCGCACTTAGGACAGTGGCATTTGCTTACTGACCATGGATTCAATGACTCCTGGAAAACTGTTCTAAAATTGGGTTCAGTCAACTTATAACTATAATGACTTACAACCGAAAATCTATTGTAATTGTGACCCATTGTGGTCATAAGTTGAAAAGTATCTATATTCCAACTTTTAACATTACTTGAAAGAAATAGAGAATGCTACATCTTTATTAAAAGTATTGGCTGCTCAAATATTGTAATAAATATATTTGACCTGATTTGATTAAAAATAAAAGAGTATAAACAAGGTTAGAGGTGCCTGAACATATTGCTCCTTGTGTGTTCAGATGGTGTAATTAATAGAACAACCATATGCAAAAGGAGGGTGTGTTTGCACTAACCAACATTTGGGTTTTATGTATGCTGTATGAACCCAGTCAGTGGGTGCTACAAGGGAGGGTTTTTACAGAAGGGCCAAAGCAAGTCTGTTTTAGGGAAACAATTCAGCAAGGAGGAAACTTTTGTTTTCATATTTGAAGCTCCTTTGCCTGATTGCTATATTTTGTTGTATGGTAGACCTTCTGTGTTTATTTTTTTCACCAAAGGATTTTTCTGTCTTGATTCTTATGTATACATTTTGCAGCCAGCAGCTTAAGCTGCGGACATTATATGGATGGTTGTTGAAGCCAAGGAAGGCAGGAGAATTTCTCCTACTTCCTCCACTTAAATCTCTTATGTAAGTTACAGAATTGGTATCTGCTGTCACTGATGCTGCTTTTTTAAAACCTTCACGACACCATCCATTGTCATTTCTCTTGCTTTTCCCAAGATGTACATTCATGACTGGGGTTCTGAGCTCTGGCGGCATGGCTGTTGAACCTAAAGGATGATGATTAGGCCTGTTTGGCAATGGCGCTCTTCTCTGGCATCCTTTGGCATTGCTAATGCAAAAATTCCTACTTTGAGATGGTCAGCGTCAAGATGATTTCTGTTTTTGCTGCTGATTAGTTCTTGAAAACTTTAGTCTGGTTGCTTCCAGCATGACCATGGCAGAATGAGAAAGCACCTTCGGTGGTCTTGTGATCAAAGGTTCTGATTTGCATCATGGATTGTTTTCACTGAAGCACCTCACCAGTTTTTGTAGGCATCACACAATGTGTGAGTTTGCAAGTGTAACAGCCAGGGCTTTTTTTCTCGGAGAAAAGGTGGCGGAACTCAAACCTGGCCACGCCCTCATCAAACCCTAGGACCGCCCCTTTAGAGAACAGGAATGCAAGTAAAATTTGGGAGGGGCTATTTCCGGTGTGGGAGGGGCTATTTCCGGTGCGGCCGGCCCGGAAAAAGGTGCCGGAACGCCGTTCCGCCGCGTTCCGGCT